TTTCATGGTTCCCTCTCAAGGTCTGATGAACAATAGGGTTTCCCTTGGGTATTTCCTGGATGAGATGATAGCACCAGAAAACGGTCCCTAGGGGACTTGATCAAGGTCTTGAAGTGAGGAGGTATCCGAGGGGGAAAGGACCAGGCTCCTCACACATGTCAGGCTCACAGAATATTACCCCAGGCCACTGTAGACCCTTCCCACCCATCCTCACCCCAGAGCCTCTCCACCCTGTGAGGAGACAAGCAGGGATCACTGGCCCCATTCAACTAGAGGGAAGACAGAGGCCCAGAGAGGTCTAGGGTTTGTCCAGACCCACACACTGAGTGGGGCTGAGCCAGGACTGACACCCAGGCCCTGCAGCCCCTCAGCCCCACCCTGCCCAGCCCAGCTCCAGTCTTGGGGCTGAGTAGGTTGGGGCTGCTAGAAGGAAGGAGGTTACCTTGTTTCCTGAAAACCCCACAAACTCCAGCAGCCGCAGGATCCTAGTAGGAAGCATGGACAGTGTCTGTAGGAACAGAGGCAGGTGGGTATGTGGGGCAGGGACCTCCAACCCCAAGGCCTGCTCTTTAAACAGGCTTTACCTGGAGGGGAGAGAGCCATCCCACCCACTGCCACCTTTGGAAAGGTCCCTGAGCAGCTCCTCCCATGAGCAGGCACAGCTCTTCCAGACCTCCCTGTGTGGGCTCACACTGCTCCCTCTGCCTGGAATGCCCTTCCCCATCTGGGAAACTCCTGTGGCTCCTTCAGGATCCAGCTCAAATGCTTCCCTCTCTCTCCTGAGAAACCTTCCCTGACTTCCCCCAGGAAGAGGACTTGGGTCTCTGTCCCCTGTGAGTCATCATCTGTTTTCAGGCCTGTCCCCTTCCCTGCCATTGGTAAATGTTTAACAACCATCTCTCCAGGGCAGAAAAAGCTCTAATGTATTGTTTGTCAAGTTCTGGTGCTATAAAGACTCCCACAATGGTGGATTTCAAGCTACCCAACTTGACTTGGGAAGAAATGCACAGATGGCCTCTCTGGAGCTGGTGCAAGTACCGAGCCCCACCCCCAGGCCAGCTGAGCCCCTGAAGGCTGGCAGCATATCTGGTTCATCTCTGGGGCCTGGGGCTTGGTGTCTGACACACAGCCAGGCACAGTGGGGCAGAGACATTCAGGGAGATTTATCTCAAGCCCAGACACTGGGGAAATGTGGGGGAGGACACTCCCACTCACCAGGTTGAAGGCTCCCACACCAAGCTTCACTCCTCCTTCAAAGTGCCTGTGGTTCTCTCCCTTGCAGTACTGTGAGGACTGCACGAGGCTGTCCAGCTCCCTGCAGAGAGATATAAAGTCCTGTTGCAGCCACACGCTGGGGGCTGGAGGCTGAGGCCCATTCCAAGTGGGCCTAAGGTTAACTCCCACCCAAGCTGATCTTGGAATTACCTATACATTCCCGGCAATCCAGAGAGCTGGTATTCAAGGAATTTCTAACCCCATCTCCCACCGTGATAACACAGTCCTTACTCCAGAATTCTAGCCATATTGGCCCTAGTGTACCCTGTCTTGTCCAACTTCTGGGCATTTGTTCATGCTCTGCATCCTGTCTAGAACAGGGTTCCTCAACCTCAGCACTACTGACACTTTAGGCTGGATAATTCTTTGTTGGGGAGAGTGCAGAAGGGGGGCTGTCCTACATACATCAGAGGATGTTTAGCAGCATCCCTGGCCTCCACCCACTAGATGTCAGTAGCTCCCTCTCCCCAGTTGGACAGCTAAAATGTGTCCAGACATTGTCAAATGTCTCGTGGGGGCAGAATCACCTCCAATGGAGAACCATGAGGCTAACTCAAATACCCCCTCCTTCAGGAAGTCTTCCTGGAGTCTCTGATTGGAATCAACCCTCTTTTTCCTGGTCACCAATTGCACAGAGCCTATCACCCAGCACTCCTGCAGGCCGGAAAGAGGCT